TTTTTTCTCATTTTCTTCATGTTAAGTAGTCAAGGAGGAGAAAGAGGTGAGTTTGCCAACTAAGGAGTGGCAGAGGTGAAGAAGATAAGGAGGTAGAGGAGGTGGAAGAGGTGAGGAGGTAGAAGGGGAAGCCAGAGAGACAGGCACACTAAGTGTAACATTTATTGAAAAAAATCCACACATAGATGGACGTGTGCATTCACACCCATGTTGTTTAAGGATCGACTGGATACAAAAGCTATAGTAAATGCCAGGATATGGTCATTTCTTAAGGCGGGCAGTTGTGAGATTAATAAAGAGTGTATGCATGCTCTAAGCCCACACCTGAGAACATATGCAGATAAAATCAGATTACGATCCCCATAAAAATAAGAAAAAAAAAAAAACTAATAAATTATAAACAAATCAGAAATAAGCAGTCAAAGTAACTCCCGTGCCTCCTCCACCTTAGTGATGCCAGTTGGATATAGCTAGAATATGGGCATTTTAAAGAATCATGGTTTCTGGAAATCACTGGTTACTAACTGACGCCTTACATGAGTAGGAGCCGTAGGACACGGTCGACGCAGCTTAGATGCAGCTTCTCTCCACAATGGGCTACTCACTGTCATTGTCATCAGCATGCTGGTGTCTTTGACTGAGGCTGTGACAACTCTAGGGTCATGCAGCTGTATCTTTCAAATATTTCGTCTCAGTACCTATCACAAAACTCTGAACATGGAAACTTAGTGGAAAAAAAAAGATATTGAGATTTTAGATTAAAGGGCACATATGTTCATTAAAGAATAAACTCATCACCAAAAAAAGAGAGGAATAATGAAACCATTTAGGTAACAACACAAACATAACCACTAATAAAGTGTGGTTATATCTTCTTACAATCTATTTTCTCTGCATTGTACTGTTTGTTTATACAAAACAGATGAATAACTTTGTCAGAAAGGAGATAACTATAAATTTGATAGGCACACTCCTCTCAAATAATGTAGGAAGCCTATTACCAAGCAAACTTACAGAGTTTGACTTATATAATAAAATAATATAACAAGAAACCTCCACCCAACCTTCTAGATAAAGAAGAGTCACAGGGCTACAGGCTGATGCTACCAACATATTCAACATTGATTTACAGGAGAAAGGGGATCTATTGCTTCACTGACATTGATTCTAGTCATAGCTTCAAAGAAAAATGAAGAGAACATAGTGTCCTCGTAGTCAGTCACTCGTAGTCAGTCAGCCCTAATTCATATTGAATGGAGTCACTGAAGACGTTTATTAGCTTTCTATACTCATTATTGAAGAAAAGTTTTAATAAAACAGCAGGTTTATTAAAACTCTGATAAATAGCAAAGATTTACATAAAGTTCTAAGAGATACAAATGTGAAGAAAACACACATTTGAAATTCATAATTAAGAATATAAGAATTGGCCAGGCACGGTGGCTCATGCCTGTAACCCCAGCACTTTGGCAGGCCTAGGTGGGCAGATCACGAGGTCAGGAGATCGAGATCAGACTGGCTAACATGGTGAAATCCTGTCTCTACTAAATATACAAAAAATTTCGCCAAGCACGGTGGCATGTGCCTGTAGTCCCAGCTACTGGGCAGGCTGAGGCAGGAAAATTGCTTGAATCCAGGAAGCGGAAGTTGCAGTGAGCTATTGTGCCACTGCATTCCAGCCTGGGCTGCAGAGCGAGACTCCCTCTCAAAAGAAATTTAAAAAGAATATAAGAATTAGTAACTGGTTGTAATTTTTACAATGTTTAACTTTAAAAAGAAATGGAAAGAAAAGGCCACTTCACAGATAAAAAGGTTGCTAGCAAAATACTTATTCAGTCTTTATGCTGCCATCTCCCTTGACCTCTTGTGAGAGAAGACTTGCTCAAGTTTAATCATTAATGGTTTAGCTTTATTAATAATACTAACACTCTAGTACTGGTAATATGGACAAGGATAACTATAATTTATCATTTCTTCCTATGTTCTCTCCTTTGTGGCACTTCATTTTTCTACCAAACCATGCGAATTAAATACTGTTATAACATCATTTTAAGGAAAAATTCTAGTGGTAAATCACAGGCGACTTGTCCTCTTGAAGAACTGGTTGCGCATGTGCCCAAATGGACAGAAGTAGTTTCTGGAAAGGGTAGCTAAACACCCTGAAAGATTTTTCCATGTTCTCTCTTCTTTGAATCATAAACCAAAGAGAATTCAGAGATAAATTATTCAAACCACTTGCCTTTTCAAAACACTTTTTCAGTTAAATTGATGAGATATTTTATTAGAGCACTTTACATTTCCAAGCTACTTTTGCTACATTTTGCTACAACCCTTAAGGTAGAGGAGTATTGTTATCATTACATCAATAAAAATGTACCTGGATGATGAAGAGCTATAGTGTCAGACTTCCTGAGTTTGTTCCCTGATTTATCACTTAATAGTTATGTATATTTAAACAAGTTGTGTACACCCCTCAATATTCTCATTGTGAAGATAATGGAAGTAACTACATCATAGGCTTGGTATGAATACTGAATCGAGCAATACTAGTAAGGCATTTAGACATCGTAAGAGCTCAATACATGTTAGCTCCCATTAAGCCTATTTTACAGTTGAACAACCTGATGCATAGAATCCAAAATCACAGACAGAGCGAGTGTCAGACTAAGAATTCATAGCTCTGACATTTCCTCAACAATGCTGTTCTTCCCCACTTCTCATTCTAGCTGTCCCCAAACTTGACTTGTGGATTTCAAGGCAGGCCAAAGCCAAAGAATTATTTCAAGCAATCCTTAAGTTCATATAAAATAATAACCATAATAACAGGACCTAACTTTTGTGGCACACTTACTATGCATTTATCACTGTGCTAAATCCCTTACACATATTCTCTTATTTAATCCTCAAAATCATATTTCAATGGAGGTTATACTTCTTCCTTTTACAGAAGAGGAAAGCAAGAACAAGAATAGTTCAGTGGCAAAGTAACTTCCAAAGAACACACAGCTGCTCAGTTCTTCAGCCAACAATCAAATTCAGGCAATATGGCTTCAAAGCTTAAGTCTCTACTACTCACCTTCATCTATTAACTAAGTAAGTAAACTGACACGATTCTATACTAGAGTTCATTATGCTTAAAAGCTGGACATACTACACTGCCCTCCACCATCCCATCATCAAAGAATCTTAAATGCAGTATGTTTTTGTAAGCACACATTCCCACATGTTTACAACATTGACTAAAGTAAGGAACCTATGTTCTCTATTTGCTTCTGGAGTGTGTAATATAAACTATCACCATAAACCTAAGAGTAGTCTCATTAAATGAAATTATTGTCTTTCATGCCTTAAATTAGAATGTGCCCCTCATCTAGGCTGTTAAAGTGCCATTTTTCTTTGATTTTGTGTTTTTTTGGCATGTGTAGTTCTTAATTTTATTAAATATGTATAATTTATAATTCTCTATTTTGCTTTTAGGTTATAATTTCAAGAAACAAAATAAATGTACACATATCAACTATATTGCAGAATATATTAAGCTAGATGATATCCAAGATCTGGATACTAAGATTGTATGCTTCATGGGTTAAATTCACACAATATATATAATGTGTAAATATAACTCTATGGTTTAGAAGTTTAGAAGTTTTATCGATATCAAAGAATATTAACTTAATAAAGAATCTTCCGCTTCTTCCTTTCTTCTAACCACAAAATTCACCTTTTCTTCCCACAAGCAAATGTTAGGTTCTTGTTTATCTTCCTAGATATATTTACATAAATACAATAAAATACATTTATACATTTATATACCTATATCTCCCTCTCCCTGTTTTTATACTTATGTGCAGCATATGGCAGATTACTTCACATGAAACCCTGTATCATGTTTTATGGTGAAGATTGTTCCTTACTGGTACTAAAGGGCTTCTTGTTTTATTATTATAGATGTATATTTTACTACTTTATTAATCAATAATAATTTTTAAATATGCATCTATTCATGTCATTAGATTGTTGCTAATATTATGTCATAACAAGTAATGCTACAATGAATAATATCACATATACACCAATTCACAGATGTGTGAGCATACCATTTCAGTAGAACAAATTCCTAAAAGTGAAATGCTGGGTTAAAGGATATGTGTATTTGCAATTTTGATAGATATCATCAAATTTCTTCCAAAGGAGTTGTTTCAATTTGTAATCAATACTAAATAATGAAAGCATATATATTAGGTTTTTCATTAATGCTAGAAATGGGCGATGTTCATATTTATGTTTCAAGCTTAAATAAAGTTACATGTTGCACATTCTGGTGGTGTTGGCAGGTGTCTTGGCACCAAAGTTAAGCAATATAACTCTCAATTAAAAACATAATACACTGTCTATTAATGCTTTAGTGATAAGAAAATAAATGTCTTTAACATTTTTCTAGATTCTAAACAATAAATATATTCCCACAGTTTAATATGATTTTTGGAAGATAAGAATCATCACAGAAGATTTTTTTTTCACAGTTGTTGAAAAATCTCATTGACTTCAGAGACTTTATTTCTGTAGAATGATTACTTTTCATAGGTAACTGACAAGGAATCTTGATCACAATTTTTACTTCAAAAGCTTTAAAAAAAAAAAACTTAAATGGCAGAGTCTCTGCCAAAAATTTTTTGTAAAATCACTTCTTCCACTTCTTGAGAACCTAGTACATGGTCTAACTTCTTTATAAAGTTTGTGTAATGTATTGTAATATATCCAACAACTCTATGAGGTTAATGGTATCCAACTTTAGAAACCAAAAAGCTGTGGCTCAGCAATATTAACTAGCTCAGATGACACAACTAACAAGTGCTGGTAAGTTTAAAAAAAAAAAAAAAGGTAAAAAATTTCCCACAAGTACTGGTCAGAACTGAAGTAGAGAAAACACTGTTGAATGAATAAATTAAATACGCAATAGGTATACACTATCTGGTGGCTACCTAAGATGAATGTCCTACCTCAAAAGCAGATGATAAGGAAGGGACAAGAGGCTTCAGGTGACCAAATCTGTACAGCATTAGGAACAGCAAGCAACGAAGAGTTTCCATAATAGCTGCCTGAGGCCTGAAATAAAATGTCATTAATATGCATAAGCGTTAAATATGCTCTTCATGTTTTTACATGTTGTAATTAACATGGAGATGAACTTTTCATTCTCAAGAAATACCTAGTATTTTAATATATTTGAAAAACATGTCCCTTGAAGCTATTTGAAAACAGGGATTAAACCAAGAAAGGACACTCATCTCATCTTTTTAGGGAAAATCTGTTCTTTATCAATGTACTGCTTAGTTTGATCATTGATGAGTTAGGGTAAAATTTATTTTCAGCTAATAAATAGAATATTAGGCAACTAAATTTCTAGGGTTTAAAGTAAGAGTGACTCCTTTCACCGAGTTCATATCTTCATACTTCATTTAAAAAATGAGTGGTTAGGAGAACTGATATAGTTATCTACTCTAAGAAAATGAAAAGTCAAATACCTAAGTTTTGTATTTATTTTTTAAACTACACTATAAAGTTATCTAATGTGCTGAGAGTATACCACTCTGTGGAAAATTCTTGAATTGAGTAAATGTAAAAACAATGCAAGAATTTCACTTCTTGCCTTTGATCCAGAAGAAATCCAATAGAAGTCAAGGTCATGATAATGAACCAAACCCTCAGAAGGAGAGTCACTGGTGACAGCGCCTGTCAAACAAAAACAGAGATCAATGGAGCCTTCAGGAGAGTTGTTAAAAGGTAGAAGAACAGTTAAAGCTGACAAAACAGCCAAAACTTTATTTTCTGTTACACCACTTGGCAATTGACACTTTTCAGAAAGTTTGACTACACAGAGACAATTTTGGTTTTCTTAATGTTATTTGGTTTCTTTTCAGGCATTTGGAGAAGTAATTGGACAATTCCATAATGATATTTTGCTTCAAGTGTTCATGCTAAAATTCTCCTTTAAAGTTTTGACTTTGATAATTTTTTGAAGCATGTGAGTCTCCACATACAGATAAATTAATCACATTGAAATGAGTAAACACTGTAATGGCCATTTTTAGTATCACAAAATCTTTGTTTCAAATGAAAAGCTTTCTCTAATATAGAAAATATTTAAAGGAGAATGTGTTTATGAGTGAAAACACACATATAAAAGAGATTACATGCATCCACTCATATTTGATGAAATCTACATGCTCATACATACATGTCGAAAGTTATCTTTTTAATGCTTAAATGTTAAGCATTAGTGTGCTCTTCATGTTAATATGGCAGAGATTTGTAAAGTAAATTAAAACTTACTGACATATTGGCCTTTAAACCAAGGGAAAGAATGAATATTATTTTTACAGGTACCTTAAGGGTAAATGCTTATTCTAAGACAGTCTGTCCATTGAGATTATTAGATTTCTGACTTGCAAATATGCTTTGTGCTCCAGCAAAATTAGAGGAAAAGCAGATACCAGAATTCTAATTTAAGTACATATACGCAATCTTTGTTTATAGTGTAAAAGTATTTATATTATGTACAAAAACTAATTATTTTGGAAAAATGAACCATTTACAGTTTGTTTTTGGACTCTAAGTCAAAAGATTTTCCTTTAAATCCTTGTCTCAATTTTAGCCTGGTCTTTTGTACTTTTCTTCAGAAGAAATGAATTAAAGAGTACAGTTGCATCAAGTTTGTTTTTAATCCTAATGTATTGGAAATAAATTATAAACTTTAAAAAAGTTATCTTTTGAATCATTATAAAATAAAACATTTTTCTGTGAGAATATAAATTAATCATGCATTTAATTTACTTTTCAAAATTTAATATTGTTTATTGAACATCTATTTTACAGCTTCTATGGCATGTGTTTCTTGTACTTCAATTTTTTTGCATTCCCAATAACTTTGTAGAGTAGTTGTCATTATATCCGCTTATTTTAAAAAAAAAATCTGGGAAACAAAGGATTATCTAACTTTTCTTTATTACACAGAAAGCAAATAATGCCTCTGAAACTCAAAATAGGCCTGCCTGATCCCAAAGCATGATGATAGTAGAATACATACGAGCAATAGATTTAAAGGAGCCAATGGCAGAAATTTAAATGGAGATTACATAGCCATAGTTTACAGCCAGGTGAACATGACTTCATATTAAAAGTGGATCAGTAAATTCAAAGGATTAGACACTGCTCATGGATGAGTTCCTCACTCAATGGTGGAGCTTAAAAGTTCCAACTTTATGAAAACCCAGAGGTGTGATACAACAGATTGGCTAAAATAGTGCCCAAAACATTATGCAAGTACTCTTTCCTTTTTTCCACCCTGAAATGAATACAAGGAATTTCACCTTACTATTAGCTAATACCTCTACTTGCAACTAAATTGCATCTGTCCAAAGTTGTAAACAATAAACAAAAGCCACCAGTTCCAATGTTTGCTCACATGCAGTACCTTAGCTTCATACCCTCCTAAAAACCAGCCCCATCTCTCATGGCCAACTTCCTGGAGTGGCAGCCAGAACTGTCAAGAGATTGTAAACCCTCTAAAGCAATACTTTTAATAGAAAAATATTAGTGAGTGATCAAAAATCTGAATACAAAGTATTAGAATGTTTAGGAATAGGGGCATGATGATAGGTATTATATACGGGATAGGGGAGTCAGTGGAAGCCAGAATGTCTTAGACCTGAGCAGGAGAGTACTCTTAATATTTCAACATGTGGAGATCAGCAATGTCTGTCTAAGGCCGGCTGCCATACAGCAGGTTAAACGGACTCATCCATCTCTCTCCGCGCCTGATAACTGCGTCATCACCCAAGTTCGTTATCTGGCCTTGCCACACAGCTTCCCCGCACCCGCCTCAGCATACCATACCCAAGCCCACATTCAGCACTAAATTATGCATTCAACCCCCAGCCCGCTGTTGATAAACCCTGCAGGAAAATTTTTTAAAGAAGCCCCATCAGACCCTGCCCAGTAGCAGTCTGCCCTGTATGCCCCCGGAAGGCCCGCTTACCCAAGGTCCCACCCGCCTACCCATAACCACTAGCTCCAGGCATTTCCTGCTTCTTAGTAGCCAATAAGATTGCCTTCACTTTGTTTCTCCAACAGTCAATCAAGGCCCAAGGCCCCATCCACCTACCCATAACCACTAGCTCCAGGCATTTCCTGCTTCTTAATAGCCAATAAGATTGCCTTCACTTTGTTTCTCCAACAGCCAATCAAGGCCCACTTACCCAAAGTCCCACCTGCCTACCAATGGCAACTAGTTTCAGGTACTTCCTGATTCCTGACAGCCAATAAAATTGCCTTTGTTTTGTTTCCCCAATAGCCAATCAATCTCTTTCCCTCCCCATAAAACCCCATGACCTAAACAGCTGGGCGTGACTTCTTTGGCCCCTTCCTGGACCACAGAACCTTGCACGGGAGCTGAATAAATTGGCTTCTCATTTTCTCATACTTGCCTCAGTTTCCTCATTTTACATCGGTAATAAACCTTACAGTCTGCTTAGGAAGAGTGAGCACAAAAATAACAGAAATATTTTCCTGGTGGTAGAAATAACTAGGGTTTGTTCAGTTACTTTGATTAAAATGGCTTCTCTCACTATATTGCTTCATTGTGGTTTTTGGCAGGGAAAAATTTACATAAATGGGAGAAATAATTTGTGTCAAAAACTATAGTATGATTGCAAATGCTCTTTAAGAACACAGAATTTGGAATTATTCAAACCTACCATCCATGTAACTACGAACAAATTATTTGACATTTTAAAGCCTCAGTTATATGTTTGGTATAGTTAAAATAAAATACACATTTGGCAAGGACTGTAATCTTATAAAATACTTAGAAGAGTGTTTGGCACAGAGTAAAAAAGTCAATTGATGGTCATGGTTAGTATTACTGTTCAGGAACTTAGGCTAATCTTAATTAATTACAATAAGATAAACAACTGAGAAGCATAAATAGAAGGTCTATTAGCTCTTCCAGATGTCATACGAAACTCAGAGATGGAATAAGTATGTGTACTTCTTTTGGTTAGGAAACATATGATCCCTGGACAATAGAAACAACTCTTTTTACCAAAGTGCATCCTGACTACTGGAATCAGAGTGGAAACCAACTTAATGCAGGAATCCACCACCTAGTCCACATCTCTAGCTGGTTAACATGAACTGAAACTTGGCATGACTAAAACACTGCCTTTGAGCTCCTCCTCACCATACATTCCCTAGTTTTCTTTATCTTAGAAAATCACACCTCCTAGCCCTCAATTGCTGAAGACAAAAATCTGTGACTGGTCCTTAACTTTTTCTGTCACTGTCTACTTCTAACACATCGAAGACATTCTTAAAATTTATCCAGAATCAAAGCATGTGTTATAAATAGCACAGCTAATATCCTGTTCCACCCCAACATGATCTCCCCAATAACTGTTGAAATACTATTCTAGCTGGTCTTCCTACTTCTAAAATTGCCTGTCCACCTTTCACAGCCCCCAACCTACAGTATGCAGAGTGAGGCTTTTAAAGGTAAGTCAGATCATGTCGCTCAAATTCTAAACCCTCCAGGGACTCACTCAGAATAAAGCTCAAAGTCATCAGTCTAGCTCAAATACACCATACCTCACTATTAATCCCTAGTGGTCTAGTGAGCTTTCTCTCTTTAACTCATAATAAACCATGTCAGAAATTTTCCTATTCCTGGACATGACAAGCATTTTCCCCATTCAAGTCTGTTTCACCTACTATTCCTTCTGCTTGAAATGACTTCCCTCAGGGATCAGTAGGGTGCACTTCATTCAGGTCTCTATTGAAATACACATCCTTGTCTCTCCAACACAAAATAATAGTGCTTCTCCATAACTCTTTATAACCATTTTCTGTTTTATTGCTCTTCATATGATTTATCACTGCTATACACTTATATGTTTGTTGATGCATTCTGTTTGTCATCCATCTCCTTTTACTAGGATATAAACTCAATGAAACTTTGTATCTCTTTGTTCACTGTGGTATCCCAAGTGCCTACAACATAGTACCCAATATATGTTTATTGAATGAGTGACAAAATAAAGGAATATTTTATATTATATTTAAATATTAAAAGATTAAATGTTAATAATTCTTATTACATTGCTAATATGATATTTGAGAAAATGGAATCTTTATTAATAAATTCAAATTCTATTTTAGCTTCAGGGGATACATTTCCAGGTTTGTTATATTAGTATATTGCCTGATGCTGAGGTTTGAGATAGAAATGATCTCATCACCCAGATAATAAGCATAGTACCCAACAATTAGTTTTTCAACCCTTGCCTTCCTCCTTTCGTCCTCGCTCTATTAGTCTCCAGTGTCTATTGTTGTCATCTTTATGTTCAGGGCACCCAATGTTCAGCTTTCACTTATCAGTAAGAAATTGCAGTATTTGTTTGTCTGCTCCTCCACTAATTCACCTAGAGTTATGGCCTCCAGCTACATTCATGTTGCTGCAAAGAACATGAATTCTTTTTTATGGCTTCATAGTATTCCAGGTATATACATAATATGTTTTGTTTATCCATTCCACCATTGAGGGGCACCTAGGTTGACTCCATGTCTTTGTTATTTGAATAATGCTGCGATGAACATATGAGTGTATGTGTCTTTTGATAGAGTGATTTATTTTCTTTCGGATATATACCAAGTAATGGGATTGCTGTGTCTTAAGT